ACGACTTGACTAAGTACTTGAGGATGACTTAAGGATGACTTGACTAAGTACTTGAGGATGACTTAAGGATGACTTAACTAAGTACTTGAGGATGACTTAAGGACGACTTAACTAAGTCCAGCGGATGACTTAAGTAGGTTCTTGAGGTGACTTACCGTCAACTTCAGCAAGTGCTGCAGTAAGTACCCTTTCGACTTCTCTGTCCTTCTTAAAGTCCTTCCAAGACGTCGTAAGTTCCTTCAAGTCGACATGCTGAGCTACATGAAGTGCCGTAGAGGCGACTGCCATTAACTTACCACACTTCAAAGACAACCACCCACAGGTTATCTTAAGTTCTTGGGCGATGACATAGTCATCTCTTATGTCCTTCTGTAGTTGCTCCACGTCGTCTATAGGTAGCGCAAGTCCGAGCAATTTAGTTGCCAACTTAATAGCGGAGTCTGCTACGGCGTCGGTAGTCTTACTTGAAAGGGCAGCCTCGTACCTCTTATGGAACTTCTTTACTTCTTCTTCAGACAACTTATTGACCTGCGCGTGGGTAAAGTCCTTGCCTATCATTTCTTTGCACTTCCCAGAAGACACAAGGACGTTAAGTTGTTCCTTAAGGTTACTTTCATCTATTTGCATAGGGACTTCATCTATGAGCTGCTCAATCTCCATATATATTGACCTGATACGGAAACCTTAAGGAGAAGATCATCTTGGAATGTTGGTGCGTCTTCAGATGGCGCATGTATTCGCGCAACTGTTCCTTGCTTATCTCGCCGCCGTAGTCGCTTAAGATGGTTTCCAGATCGCTTTTACTGGGCGTGTAGAAGACAACCAAAGAGCCTATGTTTTCCCTGAAGGGCTTAGAGACGCTGGTAAGCTGCTGCGAGAGCAACCAAACGCTAATGTTGTCATGCCTGCCGCTGAAATCAAGCTTTACTAACTCGGAAGTGCGTCTTTTTACGTCATCCCCACACGCAATGTCATCCAAAATGAGGAGGATTTGCGTATCTTTGGGGAATTGCCTATGCCAAAACTTAAGATGTCCACATAACTCATTAGGGTCTAAGATATCCACAAAGAAGTCGTCATCTTTCACGCCTACACCCGTCCAGGTTCTGTTGTTCACGTAGGTGGGGCAAAGCAGCACTACGTAGTCAAAACGGTATCTAAAGGGGCCCAACAGCTGCTCTACGACGAACTGGGTCTTTCCGCAGCCGGTAGGTCCTACTATCAAAGCATTACAAGGGATGTGGTCTGGGTTCATATATTTGGAGCCCGTGGAAGCAGTTAAAGGAATGGTAGATACCTTCAAAACAAAGTCAGATCTGGAAAGGGCGCAAAGGGAGGAAATAGAGGACTTAAAGAAGGAATTGCATGCTTTGAAGCGTACGGAACGGTTTGGCGCTTTGTTAACGATGGCAATGTGGGCTAAGGAGTCATTTGTGGACTTTATGCGCTACCCAATGTAATTCTTATTAGGCTTAACATATTGTTGTATATATATGGGGTGTCCAGAGTGCAACAAGGAGTTCAGTAGCAAACAAAGGCTGCGAAACCATGCTAAGCGTGGCGTTTGCGCACCTATCGTCTGCGACGACTGCGATAAGGAGTTCAGCAGCAAGCAGAGACTACGGTACCATGTCGATAATGCGGTTTGCCGTCGTACCAACAAGTGCGAGGATTGTGGCAAGGTCTTGAGTTCCCATCAGCGCCTCTTAAGTTACGAAAAGACTCACGAAGTCGTCTTTCAAAGGGTAGCAAAGAGTTACGACCTAGAAGGAGTGGATTGTTACGAATGTGGCGACATAATGAGCCGATGCAAACACAACGACGAATACATCAAGGATCGTATCCGCTACAAAAGAAAGATGCATAAGACCTTCCCATTCTTTGATCTCGTGGAAGGCGTTCCATGGACAAATAGAGAATACTGGAGGCAGGAATGCGATAGGTGCGGACACGTAAGGGAGGAGGAACATATCACCAATGGCTGCCTTACCCACTAAACAATATTTCATAGTCCTTAGGAGTGATTCCTAAGGACTTTTTGTAGGGTTCCTTGAACATATTCTAAACAATATCCACCAAGACACCTCATTGTTTATGGTTCTACAAAGTCCTCAGGATCCTTAAATACCTTGTTGTTGTTGTTAGTTCTTCTAGAATATTGCCCAAGCATTCCCTAACAACAACAACAAGGTATCTAAGAATCCTGGGGACTTTTCAGACTCCTTAACGATAGGCTAAGGTAATAAACAATGTTATTTATCCTTACCCATTGTTTATGGTTCCACAAAGTCCTTAGGATCCTTAGATACCTTGTTGTTGTTGTTAGTTCTTCTTAGGGAATCCTATGCCCCCCACAAGAAGAACTAACAACAACAACAAGGTATTTAAGAATCCTGAGGACTTTGTGGAACCATAAACAACGAGGTGTCTTGGTAGATATTGTTTAGAATATGTTAAGGGTTCCTTAAGCGATATTTCTCAGGGAAGAACTAACAACAACGAGGCAATTAAGAATCCTGAGGCCTTTTCAGACTCCTTAGTAATGGGTAAGGATAAATGACATTGTTAAGGGATATGTTAGCCTACGTAGCAGTTTCCTAATAGGCATTGGTATATGGATTGCATCACATGCGAACCGACTTTGGATTGTGTCAGAAAGCCAACTGCCCCACGTAACCTTAAAAAATACACCTGCCTCCATTGCGGCAGTGCATTCTTGAAAGAAGCCTTCGTTGGTCATTGGTGCTCAGCCGACCTAAAGGCACAACGGACCCTAAAAAGCGACGCTCTTTAGCTGGCTCATTTCTACGCTTAGCTGCGCGTCAGACACGACAAAGACATAGCAGTTTATCTTGTCCGTATTGCCCGCGGAGGCATTTTTTGTGCGTTTGATTTCCAAAGTAATGCCGTCTTGGGTGTTGACCAGCCGCAGACCTTGTCCATGCAGGCTCTCATCGTTGGTCGTACGCATATCGATCCATAACGCATACTTGTCTTTTAAGAACTCGGTAGGGCTTACCTGGTCGCCAAACTTACGCATTGCCTCGCTGTAGATGTCTGCAGGCTTTATCCCCTGGGAGTAGACCTTGTTGGGTACTCCGTTGATATTTACCCCCACGTTAGTAATGCCGGGGTTATGGAAGGCCTCGGAGTCGCGCTTGCCGGCCTCGCAAGGCTTCGCGAACACCTACATCAGCCCCGTCAGGCTGCGCCTGGGGAGGTTAATGCTTTGGTTAATAACCTCGTCCGTCTTATCCAGGAAGCTGAATGTCTTGTACATCACTACGTGGTCGTAAAGGAATGCCTTCCCAGCACTGTATTCCACACCAGCGCTGCGGGCCAGCTCCTCAGAGTACACCGTTTCGTACTCCAGCTCCAAGTTGGTAATAGAATAAGGATCCACAGCCCCGCTTATCGCGCTGTCCATTCCTCCTAAGATGTTTGTCGTGTGCGCTAATGTCACTTCGAACTGTAGTTCGCTTAACTGTCTTGGGTAGTACACACCATGGTTAGTAACCACTTCAAAGTCCAAAGGAATCACGTACTTGGTACCATACGCTGTCTTTACCCTTGTTGCATCTGCTACCGCGGTTGCGCCACTAGAGTCCGCAGGCGCGGGGTTGGTGTCGCTGCGAAGCTGACGTAGGATAACGCTGCCAATACCCTACTCTACCCTTTGCGCACGGTCAAACGCAGTCAACCATAAGTCTTTGTAAGTGGCGTACAAATCATATCTGTTTAAGTCCAACAAGGACTCACCTGCGAACTTAACCCGCATCTTAGACACAAGATTCCTACCTACGTTATTGACGGTATAGCGCTTGTCTTTGGTGTCGGGCTGCACAACCAAGTCAAACCTTAGCGCCAAAATGCCGGGGACTAAGACCAGATTATCCGTTAAACGGGGTACGCCTACGTACAAAGTCTCACCAGGCTTAGCGCTTGAAGGCGTAAACGTAACGCGATGGAACGTTCTTTCTGCCTTTAGGCCGCCTACCTGCTTAGGTAGTACGTTTGGGTTTAACTTTGAGCTTATCATATATAATGGAAGGAGACGATATCCCCTTAATCGATAGAGGAGGCAATCCCGCAGGATAAGATGGCACTGAAGAGACATCTTTTACGAACTTAGACGACCAACTTTGGGACGAATTCCAAGAAAATGCCGCAACAGGCGAATACGATAAGTTCAGAGGCAACAGCGAAGAATACGAGACTGCTAGGACCCGATACTTGCGATCTCATCCCGATGCGACCATTCCTAGCTACATGGAATTGCATGACCCAAGGACAGAGATACAAAGAGAAATCCTTGATAATATGCGTAGCCGCTTTCCTGATATGGACTTGGCCCGCTTGGAGTTCCAACAAGGAGCAGACGGCCGTATCCAAGTCAAGTACGCCAACACCGCCCAATGGTATGACTTGTATCAAAGAAGAGACCCTAGCAAGATCAGCGGTCTTACGAAGAGAATCAAGGACGCCTTAGGAGATGCTAACGCGACTACTCGAATGCAGGAGGCTCGACGAGATCTGCAAACAGCCCAAAGATCATTCTTTGAAGGTCTCGCCCCCGACGCTCAACTAACCCAAGAAATCGAAGAATTAGAGGCCAAGAAAGCTGACGCTGAGCAACACCTACGAGACCAAGAAGCAGATCATCGGCGGGCACAAGACCGACTCGAGGCCCAACGTCAGCTGGACGACCCCGAGGCCCGAGGCCCAAAGGGCGAAGCCGCGATAAGGCAGCTAGAAGCAAGAGTAAGCGCATACGAAGGCGGCATAGAACAAGCAACGACGTTTCTTCAGACAATAACCGACGAGATCCAACAAAAGGTAGCATTACGCGACGAAAGGACTCAAAACTCGGACGCGTTCGCTAAGGCCTTCATGCAAGATGAAACCGAGGCGCTAAAAGAAAGGATGCAAGAAAGAGACGATGATTACATGAAGCAAACGATGCTCCTTGGACAAAGTCATGCCGCCGAAATAGACGACTTTAGGGCACGAATTTCCGCATTGTTGGCCGACAAAAGCGAGAAGATAAAGGAATTGAATGACCTTACTCGAAGGCTAGCAGGCAATGACGAACATCTGCAGGATGCACAACGCAGACTAATGGACGCCGTAAATGATAACAGACGAATAACATTAGAAAAGACTGCCTTGGAGGAACGCCTAACAGCTAGGGTACAAGCAGCAAGCGAACTACAAGCGAACATACAAAGACAGCAGGAGATAATAGATAATACCACAGGCGCGGAAAGAGAAGCCGCCCAAGAAGAATTGGCGCGCTTAGAAGGACAAAGTGCGGAGTTGGCTACGCGCACGGAACAAACAGAGCGGGAGTTGGGTCTTACCACCAAAGACAAAGTAAAGAGACTTCTTTTGAAGTATGGTATTCCTTTAGCCGTAGCGGTTGCTATCTCAGCCGTAGTAGGAGCAATCCTTAGCGCGCTTAAGGCTACTGGTAACGCAGTCGGTAAGTTAGGAAAGGGCTTAGCAGACATGGGTAAAAAGATGGCAGCCTCCGTTCCGGGGCTGCTTGGTACGGTCCTCTCTTTGGCACTTAAGACCGGAGGAGAACTGCTAAAGTTCGTAGGTAACAACATTTGGATATTAGTCGTTGCTATTGGGGTGGTGTTCCTTAAGAAGTTGAAGGCTTAGACTTCTCGGAGTACGTTAACGGAGGCTTGTCCTTGCCTGCCCTCCTAGGCATCCTAGGCTGTGGTACGAAGGTGGTAGCACCTGGTTGGTAGCGCGGCATTAACGGTATAGCAGTCATCGTAGACATGGTCATATGATTCCAAGGTCTGTTGCTGCCTGGGGTAATGTAACCTACGCGATTTACTACTAAGACACCGGCATCACTTGGACGAACTTGAAGCTTTGCATATTGACAGTTGGCTATCATGTGAAATGTTACCGGCGTGATGTCCTCTCCACTTGACGGAGGGGGTTCAGATGAGAAAGGAGCTGGTAACCTAGTATTACCACTTGTTCTGTAAGGCAGCAGCGGGTTACTAGCCTCGTCTACTATGGGAAACCCAACGTTCGCACTCGATATCGTGTTAGCACTAATGGTGCAAATGATCAATGCTAAGCCTCCGACTTCGACCTGCATGTCAGCGTCGTGCCAATCGTCGGTTATGTGGGCTTTTTCCTCTACGTAATTGAAGAACCAATCCTCCTTTACGTATGGGTTCATATATTACAGACTTAACACCGTCAAAGTGCTAATGGTCGCATGATTATAAGGCCTATCTCTTAGATCTGACACGCTGTTTACGGTAGCACTTCCTGTGTCGTCTACGCGTAGCTGCAATTTCACCGTGCCGTGGCAATCAGCAACCATGTGAAAAGTCCAAACCGAGAGATTTTCGGTGCTGTTGGGGTTTGGTTCTACAGAAAAATGCACGGCTTCTCTGTCTCCTGTAGCCGTCCTATAAGGCTGCAGCACGCCGTTGTCGTCTAAGAACCTAAAGCCCACGTTGGCGTGGCTGGTGGTACCAATACAAATGCTGCAAAGGATTAGCTTCTTTCCTGAGTAATTAAGGTCTACGGACATCCCCGTGACATCATACCAAGATGCTTGGGAGTATATGTCCTCAGTTGCTTACGTTGTGTAAACGCAATCCACGCCGGATACGTAAGGGTTGTTCATCGCCATATATAATAGCTCAGACCAACACTTGCGACCGTTAACCCTGCTTTCAGTAGGTTGTGGTTTTCTTCAGGTATGGGTCTTAGTTTGGGAACGTACTTTGCTGCGGGCTTAGGAATTTCCCTGTGTGTCTTCTTTGGCTTCTCTACGAAGCGCGGTATTCCTTTGGTAAGGTCCGCGTTGACGTCATTATCACCAAACTTCATGTCTTTGGGGGCTCTTTGTAGTTTGTTGTTGTACCCTACGACGGAATGCGTGTTAACGACGAGGTTACTGGGCATCAACCAACAACCGGGACTTAAGGCGTAATCTAGTCGCACTTTGGATTGCTGC